AAAATAAAAGGATGCGACCGCCGGCGGGAGATAAGGGGTGCGACAGATTGGGGGGAGTTTGGGGAGTGAGTCTCCTGTAAATCACCCCTTCTGCAGTGCCTCACACAAACAACACCAACGGGGGAACGGGGGGTTGATATCTAATGCGGCGCCCAGGCTGGGGTTTGGGTTGGAGTTGAAGTTGGGGTTGGGGGTGGGAGGGATGGAAGAGGTATGATATTGGTACGGGTATAGATTCTTGGTTGAGAGAACACGAGTCAGGTCCAGTAAAACAAAGCAGAACAAGCCAGCGGAAGCACTAGGCGGGTGGCACACGAGCTCCAGGGCCGAGAAGGTGGCAGAGCAGAAATAATGAAATGAGTGAGGCAGCAAGACGACAGTGGTCCGACAAGCACACCCAGTCCCTCGGTGAAAGAAAGGAAGGAGACGGTACTGCAGCGCCGATGGCAGCAAAGACCAACAGAGAAAGGAGACGTAGAACTACGATCCCAAGGGCGGGGAAAGGAAGGGAAGGGGGCGAAAGTTGGTGAAGGGAAGAGACCTAGGGGGTTGATCGGGCTGAGAAACAACAACAACTGTAGAAGTAATCCCCTGGTCTTAACTCGATTTCTCCGTTCTATGCTGGCATACCATGATAGCTGGGCTCTACGTCGATGAATGTTATGGAGGGGCTTATTGACCTCCTGGCGCACAGGAGTATATAGTTCTTTGAAAGTGCTGTAGAAAGCTGTGGCGGTGTTGAGGGTTATTGAAATAACGAGATGACTTGTCAAACTCCTTTCTTCAGCCCAGCAAACGAAAGAAAAAAAGGAAGGATAAGAAAAACAAGCTTCCCTCGTAACCAACCCCACAGCCAACTACGGCAGTATTGGTACCGGTGGATGCCGAGTACTACCGGCATCATAACCCAAAGTTACAGCTCTAATCCATTTACACGAACCACAGCTACATATTTATAAAGGCCGTACAAGAAACATTAAATAGAATTAGAAAACCCTATTGGCAAAATAAGAGTTCCAGGGCAGTTCTACCATATGATGGCATTGCCGGTCATTGAGCCTGGGGCAGTAAACTCAGAAAATTGCTTTGAGTGGTGGGTTAGGGTCAGGAGCGCATGGGCATATCACTGGAGGCACAAATATTCATTGACAGCTTCTGTCTATCGCAGAAACATGCATAGAACAGGTTTTTACACTTTCCTTTTCTTCCACTCCTCTCCTGTTCCTTCCTTATCCCACCACTTTTGGCATGATGGAGGAATGCTGGTATGCCAGTCGACCAGTGAACATCATACCCGGTATCTGATCCACTTAAAATATGTGCGTCACCAAAGCTCGAGGGAGGGGATGGCCCTGTGAAAGTTCCTATTCTCGGGGTTGCAGCTGCCAGAAACGGCCCGCACCAAAGACTGCATGTCTCGTTCTGTGCTTTCAATAACCCTTGTTGCTTATTTTTCCGAGCCTGTCAACAACAACCACAGCAAACTGAAAAAACCCTTTTCCAACCCCAACTGGTGCCAACCCTTTTTCCCTGATAGAGATCTGCCGGCACTTGTATTGGGTTACTTAAAACACCGGCACCTCCAATAATCAGTTATATATCAGTCGAAAGAGCCTCACTTTATTACAAAAATAAAATGATGATGCCACCAAAAAGAATTAAATTCCTACAGCAGATGATAAGCATTCTACGGTGCAACCTAGCATCTTAAACCCTTGGATGGAAACGATGTCCTGCAATGTAAAGCTAAAAGTTTCAGCCTTGCCCACATAAGGTACTACGATGGCTTGCCAGGGCACGCGGCCAACATGCGAACCAAAAAGTTTAAACATGCAGCTCGGGACTGACGTTGTTGCTGTTGCTGTTGTTGCTGTTGCTATTGTTGCTGTTCGGAGCCTCAATAGCACCACATAAACTTAAACGGCTAAGCAGTGCCTACACCATACCTTTGCTAGCATCGGTATGCTACACAGAGGTCGAAATATTCTCTCCAACATCACCTGATTTCTTGCCAAGCGTCCCCCATTTAGATACTACCGTTATGTTATCAATAAGACACGCATACGATCAAACTCCAACTCACCCGTTAGTACTAGTACAGTACCACATCCTTCGAGAGACGCCATGCTCCGACGCAGTCCCCAGTGCGTTCTACAGACCTGCCTTTCCCCGGTCACGAATTCAGGAGAAGCCTCGTTACGAGTGCTCGTGCAACCCCGTCGCAAATAGTATTCGGTTATCCGACCTGGCTGCCGCAGATCCTGTGACGACCAGACGGGGCGGCGGGATCGAGTTTCTGTGAAACATTCCATGCCGGGAATAACCGGGTGCAAAGTGCTGATTCTAAATTACTGTTGGGTGTGGGGTAGTTGTCATACCAGTAGTGGGGGGTTTCAAGTTTGTCTGACAGTTTGGCATTTGGTATTTGATACGTCCTTCTCTGAGATACCGGTATACGAGATCTCAGCTGGAACAAGCTGGGTACTGGATACTGTAGTTGAGTGACGTGAACTAAATTTAGTAGCTGCTGAGCCCGCAGGAGAGGAGGCTTGTACTGTACTTCTAAAGCATATAGGTTATATACAAGGCTGATCTCTTTTTTTTTTTTGAAAAAAAAAAAAAGAAAAGGAAAGAAAGAAGCAGTGGAGTTAAATATTATGAGTAAGGCTTTCTGCGCTGTCTGCTTATGCGGCCCAAATCCTAAATTGACATTTGGCGCGACTTCCGAGCTGGGACAACCTCGTGCATATATTGAGGTCTTCTGATTTCGTCCTATAATATTATCGCCTTGGTTCGGTGAATGCCGGTAGGGTTGTCGATGTAAGCCATGTGGGGTAAAGGCAAATGTCCCCTTGATGCTAGATTCTCTTTGGACACGATATTGTGTTCTAGAAGGCTGAAGCTCGTGGGGCTGGAGTGCAAATTTCTTAGGTGGGGGATGGGAAATGATATTCCTCGTGGCTGCTAAGCCGCCGATATCCCCATACAAGCGATAACTGCGGTAGGACTCGTGTTTAGAACGCCAGCAACACCAGGCGCAGTTTCCAGGAAACGACCCTCTGGGAATTGACTGGAGCAGATTTTTCGGTCGCATGGGAACGCATGTCGTTCGAGCATGCATTCAGGTAGGGCTCTGAGTAACCCATCTACATCCATGGTATTGGGAGGTCAAGCTCGTGTGCGCCTCAGAATGGCGGGCCCGGATACATCACACAGGGCTTAGTTTTCGCTGCCTGTCGGGAGTTCGCCTTCGGTTATAGGTGGTAGGCTACCAAATTACCAATACGGTTTGCACAATTTTCGAGGAGGAAGGAACATATATCACTGTCTTACCATATATGGAATTTTATACTCGACGTGGAGTGGCTACCCAGCAATGTGGCACCAAGGAAGATGTTGGGGAAAAAACCAAGAGGCGAGGTGGCTCCCGCTTCTTATCCCTGCTAGTGGACCGGCAAGACATTGGAAATTATGACGCCCCCTGTCAGGGCTCGCGGCAGAGGTTAGATAAGCAAACTTTTTGTTTTTGTCGATAGCCAAAATTTAGCAGATGTGTACCAGACTTTAGACCATAACTAGTGTTCGCTATGACCATACCAACCCTGATAATTACTGGGTAACGTAGCAAGGGGACATGGGACAAGAGGGCACCGTAGGGTGCAACAAGCAACCTTACCAAATTTGATGCTTGCCGCTGGATTTTTGGTGTATCATTAACTTTGCTACAATTGTACCCCCTTCTGTTTGCTGTCCCTACCGGTGCTACCGTACTGGCACTAGTGTGCTACCGAAAAGAGTCAGGTTAGTCATCTATGTCTCAGAACTAACAAGAACAGCACGAAAACTTCAACGTCCTGTCGGCGCTGGGGGCGTAATGGTGTTTGCGATGGTATCCCCGTAACGGTACTGGATACCGGTATTGTGGATGCCTGCGAGGCCGAAAAACAGCTGCGTGCCCTCAGTCTGCAGAAATTATAAAGGGATGAGGTTTCCTCTCAAAACAATGGGCGGAATGACCAAGATTTAGGCGGGTTTTTATTTATCTCATTAGAATTCACTATCTACTCTTCTTTGATATGATACCATGCTTCGTTGGGATTGAGACTTCCAATTCTCTGCCTCTCTGGCGCCACTTCAAACTTTCTTCTAGCGAACCAAAAGCCGTCCCACCAAAAGAACACCCCCGACTGCTTCCGAGACACTGGTCCAAGAGATACAGCAGGGGAGAAGTGACTGAGTCCCTTGCGGCTAAATAATGCGAGGGTAACTCAAAATGTAGCAAATGTACCGGCAGGTACCCGAGTACAGCCGACGATAACAAATCGGAAAAGGTGACAAGGGATTCTGGATGCTGGATACTCGAGTACCGGTAATTAGAGGGTTTGGTGGCTCGAGCCAATCTGTAGCCTCCTGTTTTCCGATTTTTCCTCAATAGGCTGAACTGAGGCGTGGGGGAAGGGAAGCAAAGACAATACAACTACCGGTACCGGCACTCGAGTCCCAGTACTGGACCGCACATACTGCCCCTGAATAATTTTAGCCCCACACCTTTCAACCCCTCCATTCGGTATCCAGCAATCGGCAATGCCACAAACCATACACTACGAGCGAGTATCTGCGAGCATTCCTATGGGTTCGACTGCAAAGGTCCAAGCACTAGCCATTTCCAACACGGTGGGTGATGGTGACGTAAACTAAAAGAAGCGAAAGTCGAAGTGGAATGTCTTATTCTAACATGAGCATTTTGCAACCTGAGGAAAGAAAGACTAGGCTTCCGAATTCGATTGCTCAAAAGGATATGAGTTGACAGGATACTCGGGGACACAAATGACAGAGCCCGGATATCATCTCGGACACCGAAGGAGTAATGCTCGATTCTTTGGAATCGGGTCCCCTTCCGTAGAACCCTTCGATTAGAGGAAATTTGACTATATCGTCGCAGACCTATCCTCTAATCAGCGATGCATAAAGTCCCCCACCACTTCTTGTCTTTCAATAATTCCTTTGTGGTGTAGATGGTATCACACCCGGCTGTAATATTCAGTTTACCGGTTGGTCCCCAGTTCGACTCTGGGCGGAGGGACTTCTTTTTTGGAAAATGTAGGGGAGTGGCTATTGCAATCTGAGGAATTTAGCCTATACTGTACGTGGGTAGTGGGATAAGTCAGTCTGATGACGCGGTCTTGTTTTGCGATGTAGACCTGGAGGTTGACAAGACTTTTATCAGGTAGCAAGGACGAACCTCGAGCACGCAGAGAAATAGGGTTAGTAGTCTAAATACTCGGCGATTTCGTATGCAAGACCGGATGCCTTACTGGGCTGTTACTGATTGAGAGGGAGGTCTCAGCAGACGCTGAGATAAGAGGCAAGGAGGAATTAGTTGTAATTGATCTGATTTCTGTGAAATGCCAAAGGTCCGTCTTAGAGGCGAAGAGATCTTCCTCAGGACAAGCAATGAAGCAACGTCTGCTGGCAATGATGGGTGTATGGCTTTGTTACGGTGCGGAAGCAATAGCAAATGCTCGAATACAATAGTGCATCAAGTTGGATTGAAAATTAGAGGGTTTGAAGGGATATGATTTCGGATGGGTGTAAGCCAATGGCGGAATCACGCGGACATCCTCTGAGAAGCATCAATTATTATTATCAGATTTTGCTCAAGTTTTCGTATGATAGTATGATAGGAGCTGAGTTAGAGAGAGGGATCTCATAGAAATGCCCTAAACAAAGTGATTACTCGCAGATGACTAGTTTCCCACTCCTAATCCTCTCCAACAACTCATCGGGGGCAATAGCTTGAGGAGTTGTTTCTGGTGTAGGGGATGCTAGGTAGCAGGAGACAACCGGCTTATATACCCGCCATTGGGACCTTTCAGCCTCTGACCGATATCCCATAAGGCCCTCTATGGATTGCTAGGTTGATAGCTCATGTCCTTCTGAACTCTCAATGCTGTAACTGGATCACAGTTGGGGGACTCGCTGCCGGCGCCTCACTTGGTCACCAGTAGGAGACGTATCAGGCTAGTAGAATAGTACGCTTGTCTGTCGTATAGCAATCCTCAGAAACTAAGCTAGCTTCGTGGAGATTACAAAGCCTACAGCTCACGCTGACATTGTTCAAATTTGTACATCTTCAGCGGGCTTTGCGGGGGTTGCTCACTACCGGTAACTCAATATCGCGGAAAGGTACTGTATCTTATGTGTGCTTTGTGTCAGCGATTGTGCTCGTACAAAAATTTGCTAGTTTTATGGCGTACGGGTTGTCGTTTTAGTAAGGGATTATGTCAACTTTGTGTATGATGACTGACGTTTGTAAAAACGACTGCTATTGCATATGGGCAAAAAATTGGCCGGAGCCTCAAGATTTTGGTGTTATGCAATAGCAGCCGTTTTCACAAACGTCAGGCAATTGGGAGTACTCGAGTAGAAGAAGAAGTGCGGGAAAGGCGCATGCTATGGTAGCCAGGGACTGCGTGCAATCCTAAGAAATCACTCCCGGTGCTGGTATCGCATGGCGTAAAAAAATTTCTGCCTTATGGCTTATAGTTCAATATCCTAGGGATCGAATATTAATATAAATGCGGCAGCATTTGGTTTTATGTGATACCAGAACTTCACGGTGCAGTTCTTGCACTCACGGTACCTGATGTTATCTATCGGTCGATGGCCCCACAGTAAAGAGTGCTTGTTATGAGTCCCAAATACCAGGAAACCTGCCATCTCCCTCAAAATACTATACATCGCCGCCTGAGAGCTCCATCCACTCACACCAACTCTCCCATTTCCTACTCCAGCAGTCTGGATACCATACCCCACCGAAAGCTCAAATACCGGTAATAACCCGCATAAATGAATGAATAAGGGAGAAACTTAGTCTCCCTAGCGCAGCCCTTGGAGAAAAAAGATCTGTGCCGCAATCTGCCCCCCAGATTTTTTTTTTTCCTTTTTTTCCTTTCGCATTTTGCATTTACATCTCGATGACATAGTACGAGCGGTACGCTCGATAGGGCTATTTTTGCCTGCCGAGAGAGAGCTTGTTGGGTGGATGTTGAACTGACACTAGAGGGAGAGGAAGGGAGGGAGAGGGTGAGAAAAAAGAGATCGACATCCAATATGGAGCCTTGGCTAAAGTTTAGCAACACTAGTGGATTGGGTATGGTAGGGTGCTGTGCGGTAAACTGCGGTGGCCTTGTGCGATGCGGGGCTGCAGGATCGGGGATGTTGGCCCTCGAGCACTAATATCGACGCCGTGTGCTCAGGTGGGGGCGAAAAAATATTCGAAAAAAAGATCAGCATGGTCCTACGAGTATGGCGCAATCAATAAATGGAAAATGATACCGGTTCTGGTAGACCCAAACAGGCCAGAGTGGACACCAAACATATTTTCTCACCGATTAATTAAAAGTTGACCTCGGTACGAATTGACTCTGTCGAGATTACCTCCAACTTCCAGAACCAATTCGGAATCTCTAAGGCCCAGATTTCAATGGAAGGCAGAAAACAATCCAACTAGTCAGGGCTCTACTTTCTACCCCCGTCTTTCTTTTCACAAGGTTTATCTCCTGACCAACCCAATCCCTACTGGGTCGCCACAAGTTTTCTGATTCTTTCATTCCTACCCGGGTAGTGTATGATACCGGTCTGGGTATACCGGGAATGGGTAGGCGGTAGAGAAGCGGGGGCATCTGGAATCTTGGAGCAATGTAGGAAGAGGGGGAAGACACTCATAGGCGTGGTGTGCGGTTCAAGCTGCATGTGGCGACTTTCGGTATCAGGAGATAATGCCGATGTAGGGCTATCACGGGGGGATGCAGTTCCGATTCCGCGTGGGTTATCGTGCTGCGGTGCCCACGATTGAACGACGTTTGCGAATACGACTACAATTGCATGGCACTAAGATCTAAGCTGAATTTTGGTGTAGCACCGGTATGCAATAGCAGCCGTGTTCACAAACGTCCTATGTGGTGAAAATTTCCGACCACCAGCCATGCAAGCCCCCTTCGCTTTTCAGCTTTAGCTGGGGTTGCTTATTACAACTTTGAAAACTCTTGACAATCTGAACGGAGTTGGAGAAAATATCCCTCCCGTTATGGACATGCACCCGTCCACGTTTTGACCTGATCTGGCGGAGGTCTCTGGACTTTTTTTGTTGGTCTTTCTTGATAAGCTACTGGTTTTGGGAATCTAGAATCATCTTTTGGATAGAGCTTTACCTGGATTGAGCTTTACTCAATGATAATATTTTCTCTTCTTGTTTGGTTAATCAATGACTAGGTTTGTCTAAAGCACGAGAGTTTTTTTTTCTTTTCAACTTCCTTTAGATTGTGAAAACCTTTTAAAGTTGAAATAAGAGTGTGGCAAACACTATCACAAAAAGGCACTCGAAACTCTACTCTAGACTCTCATTCAATGCTTGTTTTTTCTTTTTTCTTTTTTTCTTTTTTGAAAATTGCCAACAAATTCTAGTAGGGGTTTACAATACCCTATCATACAGTATCATACCCGAGATTTTTTGGAGGAGGGGCGGGGGAAGAGAGGAGGCTCCAACTCTCTCGTCTATCTCGCTAATTTTCTGATCTCCTGACCTTGCCACGCCCAATAGGATGGCGCCGATAAGTCGCATCTTGTCGTTTCTTGGTAGCATCCCCATCCTGCCCCACGTCTCATCTTGGAGCAATCGAGTGCATGCAATTGGATCTGCACTCGCTGTGGCGCTTATTAAAAACATTCCTGGAAAATGGTGGGGATGAGGTCGGCAAGAGAATTGGAAAGGAAGGGATGGGAGGGGATGCGGGGTCTTGATTCTTAATTGTTTGGAGATTTCATCGAATTGGAAGTGTAGATTCTGGATGTACTCGAGCGCAGTACTGGTACAAGTACTCGAGTACAGGTATATCACTTATATGATATAGCTTCAGTTCTGCAGCCTCTGCTCTCGTAGTGGCCTAGATAGAATGCCGGTAAGTGGAAGTCGGAGTTGAAAGGGTTGACGTTGCGTTACAGTATTACATAATTCGTTAGCTTGGTGGTTACACGCACACAGACGGGGGAATGCCATGCTTTGCTTGCAGGCCTTTCCCAGATTCTTACTCAATCGGAAGCTGTGAAATGCGATGGGCTCGCTATTCGGCGGCTCGGGAGCAAGAGACAGCGCCGGATGTGGCCGACTAGACGAATTTAGCTTAAGATACCAAGGAAAAAAAAGAAAGCAAAGTAGTAGACGGTGATCGGGCTTAACGAGAAAGGCTCAGCGGATAGGGTAAGTAGGCCATACCGGCACACTGCGGTAGAATCTGGAGTGGTTGAACTGTGCGCTAATAGGCAGTCTGAAATTTCCTTCTCTGAGAAAGGGGCGAAAAAGCCAGCAAAGGGTGAGCTGTTTAATCCCTCTGGAAGACATAAGAGACAAAAGAAAATACTAGGTCTTACTAGAAGAGGCGACTCTAACGATATACGAAATTAGAATTCCCCGAGACATTTGGTATGGCTTGCTCTTTGGACTCTTCTGTTCGTCGAACTCTTTCACCGCCAACTGTATGCACTACGGTACCGGTATACGAGTATATGCTTTAAGGTAGGAAAACCTCAACAATTGAACTTGGTCGAAACACAAGCTGCTCGAGTAGTTGCCGAGGATGGGTAGATGTTTATGAGTTATAGTAGCTTGGCACGATGCTATCCATTCCGGCCAATCGTGCCGGCCGCAATAGAGGGGCGAGTGAGGAAGGTGAGGGGTACAGAATTTTTCTTATTCTGCCATACTCGTTCTAGGCAAGAAGCACGTAAAAACAGGGATTAAAGAAATATAATATTATGGCGGAAAAGCTGTGCCTGTCTGGGGGAGGCCCAATATAAAATATGCCCCCATTGTCTTTAGGTGCTTCTTGCTTGGGATAAGTACTTTCCTTGATGGGGCTTCCGGTATGCTTAGGGTTCCAAGCAATTGCTGTCTTTTGATGCTTGGCTTGACGAATTGTTACTTCTCATCCGCATTTTAGTGTTTCACAGAATCCTTTTTCTGCTCCCATCACCCCTCCCTTCCTTTTCCACTTTTTCGTTTAAAATGGTTGCACCAGCAGCAGG